GAAAATACACAAATCAAAATAAAATTAATGTAGCAGAAGAAGAATAAATCTTATGTCTGCCTCTTTTATCCCCAGAATATGCTCAAACTAAACATAATTCACAAACCCTAAAAAAAAACTAAATAAAATAACTCTCCGTGGACAAGGTTTGTTCAGATGTTTCAGTCAAATCCTCTTCTTGTCTTTGGGGACATTATTTTTTAGTAAAWGTTGTTTTTGCTGCAGACTCAGTCAGGTTGCAGTTTTGGATCTTTATCCTCAGACGTGTTCAGGCTCCTTCCTCCACCTTCTCTGTTTGGGTTTGTTCTCTGCAGGATTGTGAGAATTCTCCATCATTTCCACTGAGCTGACCTGGTTCCTCTGCCTCCCTGCTTCTGCGTTCAGTGTTTCTGCTTGAATATTTCAGGCCTGTAAATAAGGATTTATTCCTTCCCGCTGTCGTTTGCCATCAATCTGCCTGCAGTCGCTCATCTTCTAACCAAGTGAAACTTTTCACGGAGCATATGAGGGATTTTCTTTGCATAAATCACTCCTCATTGTGTGCTTTGCTTTGCTTTTAATTTGAATTTATTCAAGGCCCCGCTGAGCTGAACTCAGAAATTAAATGAAGAGAAATGAAAACGGGTTTAAACGTATTCTTTCTGTGCCTTGCAGGGAAGCTTCAACATTTCAGTGCTGTAAAGTAAAACAGACACGATCGGTGCTTTCTTTGACCCAAACTCATTAGAGTGCAGAGAGTTTAACTGATGGAGAAACACTGTTTACTTGTTGGATGTCTGAGTCAGCAGATTAAAAATATGAGCTGCAGCAACAAGATTTCTTTAATTTACCTTCAGTGTCACCGTGGGCTCTGCCTCGCCTCACATTTCTTCTTTTAATCTGCTCCCCTGTCCTCTCAGGCTTTTCTTATAATAACTGGAAGGCTGCCTGTAGAAACGCTGAAGCGAGCCGTGAAGACGTTTCCAAAGGCTTTAAAAACGTCCAGAATCACTCTTCATCTTTTACAGCAGGTCTGCTGAGAGCTGGAGTTCATCTTTAAATCAAATCAAGGAGCAGAGATTAGAGTTTAAAGACACTTCAAGCCAAATCAGTTTGAATACAGCAGCCTCATCAAAAACAAGGCTAGGTCCAGAACCCGGTCCAGATCCAGATTTTAATCAAACCATAGCTCATTTCCTAAAGTAACACAAACTGTTATTATCTTTTGAAGACGACCTGTTATGAGGATCCTAGAACAAAGTGTGCTTCCTCGGCAGTCGATCCGACAGCTCGGGAGGGTTCGACGAGATTTTTTTTTATTATTTTGATGACAGATCTTACCTGTCTGACATGAAAAGTTACCTGCATGAAACAAAAATATTCAAAATTTGATAAAATATAATAAAAACATGTACTGTTAAAAAAGCCACTGATGATGAAGAAGCTAAGATACTAATATTCAGATACTCAGTTCTGTTTTCTACTGAAGTGGCAAAAAAAAAACACATGTACTGTATTTGTACTACAAAAATATTAACATGGTTACAGAGGTACATAATCTGATTAAATACATGCAAACATTGCAGACTGAGTCACTAACAGTCAGTCAATTATTTTATCAAAAATATCTTCAATAAACCTTTTTTTCAGTGTTTCCCTGGAGTACTGGCCTTGAGGGAGGGCTGCTTATAAAACCAGAATGATGATGAATGAACAGCAGCAGCTTTGTTTTAAATACAATGTACAAAAGTCTGCAATTAGCATTAATTAAATCTTATATAGTCTATTTCATATCTAAACATACATTTAAGATATCTTGAACTGGACTCTCTCTACAAGTTAATGATAAATCTGATGCTATTTATATTAGTC